TCCCTACGGCTGATGAGATGGTAGCTCTTTTTTCCATGCCCGTTCAATCTTTTAACCCAATTCATTTGCCTAAATTGTACCAACAAATGCAAAGTTCAATGTGTCTTTAGCGGTAGTATTTCTAGTCGCCTGCGAGCACCGACTCATTTCCTACAAGCCACCACACAGCAATTGGTTTTGACTTTGACTTCATTTTACTGAAACGTACTCAGACAAAACCCTCGATCTAATCTACTCCTTTAAACAGCTACTTGAAAATGTCTAGCCCGCATGCATGCACACATACCCATTGTAATAATTGTCTTCTACAAAGTCAGCAGATAAATTCTTGGTCATTAATGTATTTCCTTACACTGTTTTGCTTGTACCAAGGTGACTGGAGAGTGAACAAGTTAGAGTAACTGTTTCCCAGAATTGTACTAGCATCTTTGACATTTTAAACAATACTTTCAGGAAAGAAAATTTTTTAAAAAATTTTAAAAAGGTAACAAGTCACTACCACGATTGAAGAACAAGCATGAGCCCAGCCTCTCTGTTTAATGTCAGGCCCTTTTTAATATGGAAAAAAAAATACCATTAGTTCTATTTATCATTAAGGCTTAATGACATGGGTGGGTATCAGTCTGGTAGGAAAAAAGTCTACATCTCAATTAGTCCCATTAGAGATTATGTCTTTATGACATGGGTGGGTATCTGACATTCAGGGGAAAATTCACAAGTCACCAACTCAATTGAAAGAGTCCACCAAATAATAATTTGCTGGTATAACTCCAAGTGACCAAAATAACAGAGTCTGGACTTGCTTGAGATTCCCTGGTTTTAGTAGTCATTTGTCAATAGCTCTCAAACAATGGAGTTGTGAAATGGCGCCAGTTATCACGATGAGGCTTTTTCACGATTGTGTCAAGCTTTTTTGGCCTTGGCGTGCACCACCTGAAATACTTTAGAAATACACACTGATTTCCTGTAGGAGAAAACAAATCTCCTATGCTCGTGAGGCCTGAAGCCAACAAAGTCCGCCATTCAGAATAAGACAGAGACTCCACAGTTGGCAAAGGCTCTTTGGTAAGCAGTTGTTGTCACCTACAGACCTGGATAAAATCTTTCTGTCCTCGCTAAGCCCAAACCACCATTAAACATTAATGGGAAGTTGATCGGAGTCAGATCAACATGCTCTGACCTGCCGTTGATGCTTATTTCATGTTTTCAGCACTACCTTGAAACTGTCTCGTGCTAAAATAACGCCTTTAAAATCTAACCTTTTTTTAATATATACACATAGCTGAAAGACAGTAATACCCATGCACAGATTTTTTTTGTCTGTCTGATTTTTTTTGTCCTCTGAGGAGACGTCTAACAGCAGATTTCTTCGGGGCCTAACACCGTGTATTGTTGGCCACTAAACTGAGTGGTAAACCCTCCATTACGGCCAGAGGAAGGTCCTTTTCAGTGAAAGCAAACAATTAGGAGCCCTAAGTTATTATTTCCTATTATTGTGCAATAAAAGAGGCTCCGGCCATTTCAGTGTGAAGGATTAAAGTGTCCGGGATTGCAAACATCGTGCAACCACTTTCCTCCTCCCCCCGCCCCCGCACACCGCGGAAGCACTCGAGGCTCCCTCGGGGAGCGCGACCAGGCTGACCCACGCG